CTGAAAAGAGAACAAAATAAAGATAAAGACTGTACAATAAAACATTCATAACACAACCAGGTTCAGAATCATCGAGATAGTAAACCTGATGGTAAATATGTAAAACAACTAAAAGGCTCTTTCACGCATAGAGGCTACAGTGGACAGCTTTTCAAAAGGTGTTTTCGTGTATATGCACGTGTTTTGATGGCAACAGAAAGCCAGATGGACCGAATCACTCATCGATATCTTGCCAATCCTTTTATGGAGCGCGCCCCCTGCAGGTATCACAATGTTGGTGACATCAAGTAACAACTAAGGAATCATATCATTCATAAATGGTCAAAGTATTGATTTTATGTTTGCAGGAAATTGTGATTAATCACCTGTGCACTAAAGTGGACGTCATGCATCACTGGCTATATTTCAACTACAATTCATACTGTTACTGCTACTGTTGTTCTTGAAAATACTTCATTTGCAATATCTTTTTGGGCCTTAAATCAATATACTTATGTTATTATAATTTAATTTTAAGTTTGCACATCTTTATTTATCATTTTTTCCAAATGTACAAGTTCAAACTTTAACGCATACTGTCCGATACTGAGTGGACATATAACACTTTTTCTTTCTAAATTTGAAAAAACTAGATAAAAAGAAACTAAAGTTAAAATCTTGTTTTCATGCCCCAAGAGCAATAAAAACACTTGGTAAAAAAATCCTGACTGAGGTTTTAACAATTCATGCATGAAAGGGTTTTAATCTCTGCTATAGTCCTAATTTCATCGTTAAATTGCTTGCTCATTATCTTGGAAACAAAATTCAGTAACATTTTTGAACAGAAGTGGAGATTCCATGGCTGCAATATAACAGGATCCGAGTTTGGGCCGATGGGTTTTGTAACAATGTAGTTCAATTCTATATGAATGTCTGATTGCACATGCCAGGGTATATGCAGGAATCCTGAAGTCAAATGTAATACCTTTTAAGACCTTTTTAAAGACCCTTTCCATACATTTTAAGACCTCATCGCCACTTGGAGTTCTAACCGGTTACCTTGGCGACACACTTTACCTCACATTGACTATATACAGTATTGATTGTCCTTCCTCCTTATCTTCCAACCATTTGGACGCAGACTTGCATTTCCCCATAACGATGTTGTTTAACAACCGGCGTAAACGGACCTTCGCGCGCTATCAAGCAGTGAGCGTGCGATGTCCTGTTCAGATGACGGCAAACCCAACGGGATGCCATAAATAAACTACACAGAATCACACTACACACCTACGCAATGATTACATTCAGGCAAACTGTAGAATACAACCTCTTTGGACAATTTATATACTTATTGAAAACTAGCTACAAAATGTAATACCTTGGAAAATGCCGTTTAATACTTTTTAATAGCCTTCATTTTCGCTAAATTGACTTATCAACTTTTAATACTTTTGAAGACCCCACGGACACCCTGACATGCACATACTATATCTTAGCTTAAGAAGCACTCCTAAAAAACATAATCTGTTTAGAAGTATTGCGCTTCTCCCATTATAGTTAAATTAATACTTTCAATATCTGCAAAGCCAATGTTTCCAGTGGTGGCAGAAGCACTAAAAATACAGAACCAAACCAACAATTTTGAATGATTTGTTGAAGCATTCATAATGCGTACAGTCAGAGTATCGTTCCTGTTCATTTGGGTGATTTGTGTGTATCAAAAAAAATCTAATCATCACAGATCTTTGGACCAGTTGTCGTTGATGATGTAGCTGGAAATATTTGTACCAAGATTTGCTTCTTAATGACTCTTGGTGACGTTTTTAATTGTGACTTTGATATGTTTTTAATTGGTTGTCTGTAACGGTGCTGCTCCCTATCCTGGTTAGTCTTAATGAGACTTAACCTAGTTGATAACAAATAAATACAAGTATGATTTAAATTATAAATAACAACGAAATACATTCATAAACTTCATTTGTTTACATTATGTTTTACAACATAGGAAACTTAATGTTTAAGCTTAAAGGTTCCCTATTATACTGTTTTTCATCAATATATTATAGGTCTCAGATATATACAGAACCTGTCTCTGATTGGCTGAAACACCAAACAGATCATTGCAGCATCCCATAATCCCCTCTGTTTCAGCCCTGTTTCAAAAGTGCTGATTCTCTGTCTGTTACTTTAGATGAAAATAAGGAGCCCCTCCCCACGCCCCTCTGAGAGAGATTTGGTAAAAAGAACACAATGGTGCTCTAGGAGGAGATTCAGGTGATAAGGTGGGGGGGGTTACCTTGGTTGCTGATTGGCTAATGGTTACACAAGCCAAAACATCGTTATGACATCATAAAGTGGCAAAATCTGATCAGCTCATTTTCAGACATATAAATGGATCAGGACAAAAAGAGAGAGAATCTTTGTTCCTGAAACGTTCAGAGTCTCTTTCAGAGGGGACACATGTTGATGTAGAAAATGCATGAATAAGTGGATTTTGCATAATAGGTCCCCTTTAAAATAACTGATTTCTTCCGCTAAAGAGCTCAGAGTTTGTTAGTTTTTTGCTCAAAGGCACCTCAGCACGACAGATGCTTCCTGCCGCAGTGGTTGAAACCATATTTTAAGCTAAAGGGTGGTGTCCAGTCATATTTGAACTCATACTTTTAAAATAATTACTCTAACAGCTGCTGGTTTATTCTAACGTTTGGTTTTGGTCTCAGTGATGCTGATCCTAGATTTTCACGTATTTGCTTCACCACAAAGCCACAGAGAAGGCCTCTGCCCACTCTTTGGACCCAGAACAACTGCTGTCTCACTAACGTTCAACAACTGCTTGTCAAGAGAAGAACAACAAGGGAGGTGAAAACTGGATCCCACAAGCTTTCTTTCTTTCTTGGCAAACCACTCAAGTCAGTTCTGAAGTTACATTTCTCACCATCTGCCCAACTCTTGTCAGTCTGCCCTGACAATATTTACAACGTGCTTCACTGTCAAGGCCGGGCCGGACACCAAAATGCCTCTGAAGAATGCTGGGCTGAAAAACCACAGGTAACCAAACAAGACGTCTTCCAAACAGACTGATTTAGCTGGATTCAGCCTACGATGTGCGATGTGGGAAGCCTTCGGGGCAAACCACCGGAGCTGTTCCCAGAAACGTCACTTTGTGGAAGCTTCCTGTGCACCCATCGAAAAGCATTAGGGGTGTATATTGTTCAGCTAAAGTAGGGATGCCAGGGTTAGGGGTTCAATGCCTTTTGGTAGTTAAATAGATAGCTGCCGTTGATTGATCTCCTGTAATTCAAAATATGTGGAAACGTAACCATCTTCTGTATGTATTAAACTAAAACGGAGCATTTTCTGGTTCCTCAGATTTGATTTTTGTTTTTTAGACTTATTCACTAAACTACTGCCTGAAAATGTTTAGTTAAAATCATTTGTTTTCTAAAAAAAGATATTGACATATTTTCAAAAGTAACGGAGAGTCATCAGGTTACTTTCATACTTTTATATTCTGATACTCACAATAGGTTACTGATTAACTTTTGTCACAAGTATTTAGTTATTGTTACAGATAACATTTTAAAAGTCACCCTCCCAACCTTGGTTATGAATTGTGAATAAGTGTTTATTATATAAGCTTTACGATAGATATGCTTATATTTGACACAGGGTCAAGACACAGAGTTAAATAAAGACCTGTGTCCTGGACAGATATAAAACAGATACACAGATATGGCATATTATCTGTCCTCAAACCCACGGCCTTTAGTTCAATTCCTTAACAGGCCAATAGTTCCTCTCCAACAACGACCTCATAGCTACTCAAGCCATTACAAATATGAGCAACTTATATTCAAATGCATTTACTTTAACTATCCCCCTTATTTAAAGCAGTATTTTGTACCTTTCCTCGTCAAATTATCAAGTTAAGACACTCTGTCCAGATTTATTTCTCTGTCCCCTCTGCAAAAACATCTATTGGCAGAAGAGCGTTCATGTTTAAAGCCCCAACAGACTGGAATACTTTACCTGCTGCCTTGCATCATTGGGTATGTCTAATCATGTATTATCCTCTCACTTCCAGCTGCTCTTGTTATTGATGAAACTGATCTAAGACACGACTGTCTATCAAATTGTAATGATTGTATTGCTTCATGAATGTAACTTAACAGACTGTACGTGGTCTGTCCTTGTTTGCCATGCTTTGCTTTCTGTTATTTTGTTCATGTATGTCTGTAAGACGTTGCTTTTGTCGGGACCCCCTTGAAAACGAGATGGTGCATCTCAAGGGGTTTATCCTAATAAATACATTTCTATATAAACTTTATAATGAAAGGACATGAATGATGGTTTGGTGAGCCAATTGAATATTCTTGTAATTTAACTTAAGTGAGCTGAATAACTATGAATTATTATTATACTGTTTTGGTAACGTTTCATCTTGCTTATGGACAGCTCTAGTTTTATGGTTTGTTATTATTTATAGAAAGCAGATTGTAGTAGCGTGCTCAGGTATAAATGACGCTGCCAGCTTGACACAGCAGGAAGTCTAGAGAGGAAGTTGGAAAAGGTGTTTGACCGCACACATCCGTACGACTGGGATTTGTTTATATGTTTAAATACCGTGCAAAGGTTGCACGTCGGCAGCTGATCCATTGAACATCCTAATAAAGCACTTGAATGGAACGAGCAAGGTATTTGGATTTCTTGAACATACATCTTGAGTCAATACTCGAATTCGCCTCCTAGACTAAGTGGCCTTTGAACATTCCTTTTGTGCATAATTGGCCACTACAAGAATCAACCAAAGCCATGAATGAATCTCTGAAAATATCCCTGTAACTATCTAACACATAAGAATAATTAGTCATTTAGCAAGCAAAATCTTGAAACATGCTATTTATCTGTGTGTATGACTTAGTTAATTGTTCAGGTTTTGTACAAAAATAATGTCATGTGAATTTGATTGAAGCCTTTAAATGGTATAAGATCTGACTATTATTTCCCCTTAGACAGTA